ACTATGGAGACTGCAGGTTGCATATGGCACAGACTTCTGTGACTGGCCTCTTTGATATGCCTGCCAATAAACAAAACCAGGTGCTAGAAGAAAAGAAGACTAAGCACTTTTCCCTCCAGCAATAAACATTTTGCAAGAGCCCCCTTCCCCTCCCCCCCCGACCTTTTTTTTTGGCACAGGATAGTCTCCAAGTTGCACGGAGAACCAATCAAATATGGTAAGTATGATTTCAATAAATGTCTGTACATCTAAAATGGAATTACTATCACAAAAGGGTCTAGTAATTTGGTGAATTTAGCTTTAGTGAATAATTCTGTTCCACTTAAAAAACTGAACACTTTGTAATTCATAAAATAATAATAATGACTCTTAGGCTGCTTCAGAATATGCTGCCAAACATGTAGCCACAAGTGGCCCCTCTGTTAAAGGAAGGGGGCCCATTTTAGCAGGGCCAGGTTTAACAGCTAACTTGATGTGTACATATCCAGCACTGTGTGGTATGAGCACAGAATAAGAGCTACTCTGTGCTTGAGCACCTTATGGAAACAGGATGTTCCTATTCATCACAGCCTGACTGAAGCACAGCATAGATTTCCCTTTTCCCATTTATCCATGGGCCTTTCATAGTTGTCCCTGGTGTAGTAACCAAGTGCCTTACAACTACCCTTCTATTACCATTAGGAAAGTATTGTTATTTGATAGATGGGTAACCAAGGCATCAAGTTAAACAACTTTCCCAAAGTCGCATATAAAAGTGGGTCAGAGCCAGAAACTGATTCCCTCTTTCTAATGCATCAGTCTAGATCCTTAACCACAAGACTGTCTTTCCCATATTCTTTTTGACATAAGAAACTATTGTCTCTTAATCCCCTTGACTTCTTGTACTCTGCACAAACTAACACACAAACTGGCTCTTGATATCTCCTTCTCCCACCCCAATGGGACTGACTTCTTCTCTTAGCTGATATGACTTAGAAATCTGAGACAAAGCATTATGGGAGAAAGCAAAACCAATGATTTATAGGGCAAACAAGAGTTTCCTCGAGTCCCAGCATTCTCCTCATTTTGAGAAAGTGAAAATTAACAAAGAGTCACCATTAGGGTCCTTATGTGTCAGACAGGCATGGGGATGTTAAAATGTACTGTTAGGCTTTTAATACAGTATTGTTACTTGCTTTATAGACTTAGGGTAAACCTCTTGAAAACATTACCAGCTACATTGACAGAGAAGGATGCTCAAGATCCAGAGTGATATAGAAAACTGGCCCATTTTTCTCTTCACTATTTCTGCATGTTCTGAGAAACAGTGGATTGGGTAAAATTAAAGCAGCCCCGAGGGGCTTAGCTTGTGCAACATTTAGGATTTACATGGTCAATGACTAGAGTTCTTGCTGACCTTGAAAGCATTACAGGGTCATCCTTTCACGTGGATGAACTGCTCTGCATGGATAATAAAAGCTCTCTAATGTATTAAACACAGTCTTGATCCTTGATCCTCTGATGTGGAGGTCTCTCTTACTGTATTTCATGGCAGCAACATATGCTGTAGGATCTTGTTCCACACACCTGTTATTTGGTGGGTGGGAAGTACTCTTGACAATATCAGAGTCAATGAGCAACTGCTAGTGCTTGTCTCTCATCTCTAGCAGTCCTATGCAAGTTTTTTTAATCAGGAAGAAGGAATTAAGAATGATCATGTTCAGCATGACACGGGACAAGCCAAAATGGGGCCCCCTCCAGGCATCTGCAGTTACATCCAAGAGCACAGAAAGTGAAAGCTACAGTTAATGTTTTATGAGAAGAGGCAGCGTTAGGATCATGGGTTAATAAAGCTGTGCTATCATCAATCCCCACAGAAGTCCACACAGTTCATGTGACCTAACCACAGTTGGAGCTTGCTTCATTCTGGCAGATCATCCTAGAAAGCACAGAGCGTGTGTTACAGCTTTCACTGGCCCCAGGATCAAATCCCTATGCACACATTATAAGTGCTGTGTATTCAAAAAGGCAGTTGGCCTAACCCCACACACACTAAGTTTCTGAATGTCCTTTGGGCAAAATGCTCTTCAGCTGTCTCATGCAGCTTGATCACAGAAGATCAGCAGGAGAAAAAAATGTATGTTCAAGAAAAGGTCAGAGAAGAACCCCGATAGTCTAATGAATATAGGCATGAAACAGGGAACCCTTCCCCTGTTACTAGAAAGTGATATGGCCTCTTTAAAAACAGGGCCTTTGTAGAAACCAGCAAAGCAGGACCCTGGGTGCAAGTCAACTGACAGGGAGTCACCTGACTTGCAGGGCAGGGCTTAGGCAGTATAAGAGCCCAGAGCTGGAGAGTGAGGGAGCAGTCTGCCTTTGCAGGCTGCTGGAGAAGAAGCTATGCCATGAGGAGGACTTTGTCAGACAGACTGGTTTGGGGCCATTTGCCTCAAAGGCTCTAAGCTACCAGGGATGCAGCCCTGTACTTGAAGTAGCAGAGCGCAGCGATTGGTTGTGTAACTAACTAAGGTTAATTATACAGCCGAAAGAAATAAGGACTTGTATTAGCCAGCTGGCTAACTGGTGGCTTACTGGAGATCCCATTAGTTAGTGCCTAAGGGGCATGTGACTGCCTTGAGCTCTTCCATGGGTCAGGCTCAGGGCACAGATAGAGGACCGGGCGCAAGGCCAGAACCTAGAGACTGGCTTACCTGGATGCAGGAGGCCCAGTGCTCAGAGCTACAGGGCCAGGGGCCCAGACGCAGAGAAACTGGGGAGGCTCAGTGCCCAGAGCAGGGTGGAGATGAGGCCAGGGGCCCAGACAGAGAGAGCCCAGGGAGGCTCAGTGCCAGAGCAGGGGTGGAGACCCCGAAGAGCCTGGACTGGTAGGGCTATGACCCAGAGGCCTGGCCCAGTGTAGAGGGCCTAACCAGCAAGGGACCAGCTACAGCACAGGGGCAAAAGCTGGGAAAGCCAAAACCTCAACAAGGGAGTAAAGGCCTGAAGTGGCCTGGTGGTTTGGGGACAAGTGTCCCATTGGATGTCATGCTGCGTATTATCAGGGAGGCATGGTTGTGACTATGGGGGTGGCTGGAGGTCATGATTTAAGCCACTGAGGCCATGGTGGGCAAAATACAGTCCATTGGCTGGACTTATCCCACAGAGCGATTTTTGCCTAACCCGCAGCATGTCCCCCAGCCCCACCAGGTGGTGCTAGAGCACCTTCATCCTGTGTCAGCCTGCTTGCTCTGGCATGGCCACACAACAGCAGAAGCCCTCGGACCTCCCTGCACAGCATGGGGTGTAGTGGTGTGGAGCACAGAGGTGTGGGGGCAGTGGCAGTGGTGGGAGCCTCAGTGGGGGCACTGCATCCAAGAGTATGGGCTGGTCTCAATGGAGACCATGTGTGGCCCATCAGGGAGCTACATGCAAGGTTGAGGGCCAGCCTCCATGGAGACCAGCTCCTGGCCTTTGCCCTGGTGCCATCCCCAGATGCCATGCCCTTACCAGGACTCCCACTGCTGCCACTGCCCCCACATCGCTTACCCTTTGCCAAGCTGGCAGGTCTGGGGGCTGCTGCTGCCACCACATGGGCATCCTAGGGTGAGCTGCAGGCTGTCACAAGACAGGGATGCCCCAGCTCACCTCGCCTCCACTGGCCCTGGTTCAGTCCTGGCTGCTGCAAGTGGTGGGGCATGGAGTCACTGCCAGGTCCACCCGGCTTCCTCCCCAACCTGCAGGCTGCCCACTGTGGGCTGGGGAAGGGGACAAGAGAGGGGAAGAAGGAAGGAGGTTAAGTTCCTCCCAAGCCTCCTCTGCAAGGCTCACAGACCTCCTCTCCCCTTCATGGGTACTGCAGCCCCCCAGTGAGGCCTGGCAGCAGCTTGCAACTCTGCCCCAGCCCTCCACTGTCATCACCCCAAGATCCTGGCCCTGGACACAGCTCTGGGGAGCCTTGTGGGTAGGGTGCATGGGCAGGTTAGGAGCTGGTCCAGGGCCAGGATCGTAGGGCAGTGACAGTGTGGAGCCCAGGCAGGGTAGAGCTGTGATCTGCTCCCTGCATGCCCCTGCCCACAGAATCCACACCCGTTGCAAGGGCATGCAGGCAGCAGATAATGGCTATGACCCTCCACAGCTCTGCACTGTCACTGCCCCATGACCCCCGCCCTATGATCCCAGCCTTGTCCGCCCATCCCACTCCTGAACACTGCTGCCCGGGGCTCCATCCCACAAAGGGAGTTTTGGTGAGTTGTTGCAGGGGTGGTGCTGACCCGACCTGCAACAGGTCACCCAAACAGCTTTTGTAGTCGTTGGGCCCAAATTACTGCCCACCCCTTCCTTAAGGCAACCCATATCAGGTGAGTCAACCGTGGGAGAAGAGAGCAAGCACCGCATTTATCAGTCTCTGAAAGCTGTCTCCCTTTCATAAAGCTTCCAACAAGACATGGTGGGCAGAAAAACAAGGTGAGTCCTTAAGAAACAAAGCTGAGATACAGCTTAGCAGGGATGAGGCAACCTGTAGGGGCATCACAATGGTCCTCAGGTGCCTAACCTGTTACAGGGTGCCTTTTTCTTTCTTTCTTTTTATTACTTGAACTTAACTATTTGTTTCACTTAAGCACAGGAGCAAATGGGCCCAACTGGCTGTGACTTTCAGGTACAGCTGAGTTCAGAGGTGAGTGGTGAAAAGTGGATTGTTGCTTGAGATCCCCTCACCCTAAAGCTACCTGAGGGCTGTTTTGGACCCCAATACAGTCAGGAGGACACAAAGTACTGGGCCTAAATGTTATTGATTTGGCAGCCTAAATGCAAAGGCAACCGCTTTCTGGAGTCCATGCCACTGAAAGAAGTCTTCAGGATGTGGTTCAGGCAGCTTTTCAGTCCTGTTGTGCCATGAGGATATATGAATTTAGCTCTACTTATTTATCTCTCATATATGTCAACAAGCTTTTCTACAATGGAGAACCAACAGTGCCTAACTTCATATGCCCAATAGTCACAGTTTGCCAGAGTCTCCTTACCTTTGGGCAGTGATAAGGAATGTAAGAATCTCCTCTTCCCCAGACAAATGGCTTGTATCAAAGATCACGCTGAACTCATACTATGGAAAGAGAAGGTGGCATTGAGCAAAGATATACTTCCCTTTTCCTATTTTAGAATGACATGTCTGCCAACCCACAACAGCTATGGACTCATATTCCTTTCCGCTGCCACTACCTGCAAAATAATATTCTTGAGGCTAAAAGGCTGCTCTAATTTTTGCAGAGGAAATAGCACTGTGCAGCAGCCATGGGGTCCTGCGGCTTAAAGCAGGACTCCCCTTTTCAGCTGTGCTGAATGCTCCTCAGCCACAAGTGAGGATCAGGGCTGTAGTGGTTGGAAAGCTGACTTTCTGCCTGTACAGACATTTCGTCTCCCAGGAGCCACTTGACTGTGACTGTTCCTAAGTCCCCATCCCATCCCATCCTGTCCTGTCCCGTGTCCCATCCCCCACCCCCCCACGCACACCGAGCGGCCACTTTTAGTCTGGGAGAAAAATTATGAACATCTGCACTCATAGTTTCTCCTCACAGAGCAGGAACTCTCCCTGGAGAAAATGAACTTCTGTACATAGCCTTTGTAAAAATGGCTGCCTTTAATTCCTTGAATCTGCTTCCTACGTTCAAATTGTGCCTGCTCAATTTTCCTGGCAAATGATACTTTTTTGTCATTTGCCCTACAGATTAAATCAAGCTGCAGAGAAGCAATCCACCTCTTCTTCTGTCACCTGCATCAGCAATAAAACTGGACACAGAGCTATGCCTGGAGTGCTTTTTCTTAGTGATGAAGGAGGTACCACTGGGTGAAATTCTTAGGACAGAACCCCTTTTTCCACCAAAAAATGCAGGTCGGAGTCAAACAAAATATTTTTCCAATTTCTGTTGAATTTGATGAACCATTTAATCAGAAAAAAATGAGGAAATTTTTTTTTTAAAAGGCTTTCATTTTGACAAGATTTTAAACAAAATATTTCAAGTGTTCAATTCAAAATGACATCAAGGTTTTGATTTTTTCCCCCTTTGGTATTATTAAAAATGCTCTAAAATGTTATTAAAAACTCCAAAATTAAGCATTTTTAATTCAGCCCAAGATAACTAACTGTTCTTCACCATTTTAGTTCATCCAAAAATTACAATAAATTTAAGTAATATCATGAAATATAATATATGTTAAATTCATACATATATTTCATTTTGCTTTTTCAGTTCAGCAAATGGGCTAACAAATCATTATTTATATAGAGACATAAAGAGCACAGCTGGATTGCCAGCTATCACTTTCAGAGATTTCATCTTCAGACTTAAATAAGCAAAATTAGATGTCATTGGGAGACAGTCCTTTGAAAAGTCTCAACGTCATTTTTGTAGGCACTGATCTGATTATGGCTATATTTGAAAGTACTTCTCAGAACATAAGACAAAATTAAAAAAAAAAAGTTGAGCAGTAAAAACAGACAGGATAGATAGAGGGCTCTTTTTTACCTTTCTGCTGGGGAAGCATTACATAACAAATTCTAGTCGACTTTCATTAGCACTGCGCGCACGTTACAATGGGCACAGCACTGCCACTAACTCTGTTTGGTGGGAAAGAGCAGCATCACCTCACCACAAATGGGAAAGGCAACCACAGCATCCCTGGGGGACAGCTGTGAAAACTCAGCAGTGCCATAAAGTGCATTTACACTGCAATTCTCCTCTACTCCTTCCCTTGACGCAGGGAGGTTCATAAGCTGTTGTCACGAAACCAAGTGTCAGCACTTTACCCTGGACTTCGATCTCATGAAAGGAAATCCCACGCTGCATTTGAGGAAGTCTGACTCCAGCAACTCACAGGCAATACCCATCTCTTCCTGAAGAAAAAGAGGAGAAAAAAGGGTGAATGTATGGCACTGTAAAGTGAGATACAATAGTGGTGGTGGACAGACAGCGAGCGAGAGAGCATGCATGTGCAACCAGGAAGGAGCCTAGTGAAAAGATATGAATCCTGGGGAGACAGGGAAGCCTTCCCCCACTTTTAGCAACACTGTCCCTACAACATTAAAAGTCATGACAACTGGAAAGATACAGCACTGCACTCCATAACTTCATCTGTGAACAGTGGGTACAGATACATAAGAGCAAGAAATACTAAATAACTTACGAGGAACGACAAGGGGGAAACTCCACACACAAAAATACATTAGAGTCAGCCAGATATTTAAATCCTCCGCCCCTCCTCAGTCATTCTCTTGAGTTATTTATTGGGTATATTTTTATTGCCTTCCTGGGGCTCTCAGGACCACTCCTGTGAAACGAGCTCTGCTCATTCGTTCCTGCTCCAAACACACTGCTTGCCAAAAAAGTTGTTTGGTAGCCTTTTGTTGTATTCCCAGCTACACTCTCAGGATCTGTTTTGGGTATGCTACTGAAAGCAACATTAAGCACACCCAACTTCTTTCTAACAGAACACAGAAGCCATTTTTTTAACATGTGACTCATGACAAGTGGGAACAAGTAGTTTGTTTCATGGAAATGGTCTTGTAATGAATGTACATGTGGTATTGTAGCAAAATCCCCAGTTTTTCTTTGTTTCTTTTAAAATGCATTCCCTCCT